TCATTTGAGTCCAGCTGTGTTTGATTATACTGATTGGACGTGATTAGGAAAGCCACACACCTGTCTATATAAGACCCTACAGCTCACAGTGCATGTCAGAGCAAATGAGAATCATGAGGTCAAAGGAACTGCCTGAAGAGCTCAGAGACAGAATTGTGGCAAGGCACAGATCTGGCTAAGGTTAAAAAAAAAATTTCTGCTGCACTTAAGGTTCCTAACAGTTTTTCTGTCAGTATGGGGTGCTGTGTGTACATTAATGAGGAAAAAAATGAACTTAAATGATTTTAGCATATGGCTGCAATATAACAAAGAGTGAAAAATTTAAGAGGGTCTGAATACTTTCCATACCCACTGTAGTTAATGAAGTTACCCCTGCTTTACCACATGCCTACAGTAAATTGTGCACAACCTCTTTTGAGGCCATTTTTCTAAGTGTTAGAATCCTAGCTGAACTTCACCATCAACTGATCTGCTGACAACATGTGTCAGGTGTAATCCAAACAAATCACAGGGAGAAGGAAGAGGGGAGCACTGTATTGGTTCAGCTTTGTCTGTAGTGGTGTTTGCTGCACATTCTCCTTGTGACTGTGGTTCGGTGGGTAGGGCGGTCATCTCCCAACCAGAAGGTTGGCGGTTCAAATCACGGTGCCTGAAGTCCACCTGTCGGAGTGTCCTCGGCCAACACACAGAACCCCAAGTCGCCCCCGATGGTTAAAGCCATCGGTGTGAGTTGGCACCACAGATGTACTGGAAACAAATTCCTTGTGTGTGTAACATCCCTGACCAAATAAAGTGATTACTTCTCTCCGGGTACTCTGGCAAAGTACAAAGACATGCAGCTTAGGTTGACTGGTGACTCTAAATAGCCCCTAGGAGTGAGCGTGAGTGTGGTTGTTTCTCTACATGTCAGCCCTGTGATAGACTGGTACCCCGCCTCTCGCACAGTGTCATCTGGGATGGGCTCCAGCCCCCTGTAACCCTTTTCAGGAGTAAGCAGTATAGATAATGGATGGATGGGTCACTAGTGTGGTGTTTGTCTTCAGTGAAAGATATGAACAGTAACATGAAAGAATTGATCATGTGTTGCAGTTACAGTTGCATGTTTGAATTGGTCAAACACAGAAATGTAGAACTGGCTCTGGGTTTTCACTCTTCACTCACTGTCTGAGATTATTGCTTCAAGGAAGTGCAGACATGCAGCTTGTAATTAATGTATTAAATAAGTGAGATGGTGACCTCTCATAGAGAAAGGTTACAGATTCAGCTCATTATATTGTGCCTGTGTGCATGCCCACACGCAGACATAGTGCATGGTCTCATTTTACTACAGCACTCAGGAGATGGTCTAAGGCTTCCACAGTTAATAAGGGAAATGGTTATTGGCTGGGGGCTAGTGACCAGGATATGAGATGTGACCCAAGGTAAACATGGTACTTTATGGGTTAACAGATTCCTTCTGGAAGAAAAGGGAGTTTTTATGGGATGCAAGGAAGAGGCTATTTATTGAGAGAAGGACAAAATGGATAAGGACAGTATACCAATGGGCCTCATAGGCTTCTTGAATGACTGTCATAAATACATATGTGAGCTTTCCTTAGTGGGAAGACGTGTCTGCAGTATCTATTTAAAATATGTCTACCTGCAGGATTTAAATGGAGAAGCAGATTTTCATATTAATAAGACTAGTATTCTAGTTGATACTAAATAAAGAGGTGTGGAATTGTGCTTTTCAGTAGGAAGCAATATCTCTGTGTTGACCTGTCTTTTATTTTCAACCTCATCTCCAACAATTTTACAGAAACCCTAATGAGGGAATTTCATGATGTGCTCATGTGAGTGCAGCAGGGTCATGAGAGATTGAATGGATGGTCTTGGCTGTGCAGGGCTACTAGCTTCAGCTGTGACTGCCTGTGGTGCTGCTATCCTCTCATGCTGTTTCTCCCAGGTTTTGGTGCACTGCAGCCCCAAGTTCTCTGAGACATGCTGCATTGATATTCAGGAACTGTTTCTGATCCCCATCACCATTCTCTCTCTCTCTCTCTCTCTCTCTCTCTCACTACCCCCTCCTTCAGAATTCTCTCTTCATTTCCCTTGCTCAAGATAAATGATCCTAGCAATTATTCTTTAACACTTACATGGTCTACACCCCACCTTAGGCTTTCTCACTATAAAAATACACTGTACACAAACTGATCCTCAAATACTAATACTAATAAAAACTGATACTCAAAGTCTCTACAAAGTTATCCAGTCACCACTATAATGTTGGTTTATTTCAGATCTGCCAAACAGGTACATTAGTATTCTATTGTATTCCACCTGTCTTCACTTGTTTTGCTGCAACTTCTCTGCAGCCCTGCTTTCCTGTTCATGTTAGCCTCAAGCTGTTGCTTTGATGGATGATCTCCATTTTGTCCAGCTTCCTTAAATTGATCCTAATTAGATTTTTCTCTAATCAGATTAGATCAGAAATGTGTGGAGTGTACTTAATGCAATCAATCCACCTGCTGCACATATGCACCATATATTGTACAGTATATGCAATATTTAACTCTTTACAAACATCTAGCTAGTGAAATCAGCAGCAGGTAGGTTATTAAGGAGTATTAATTAACAACGGTAGTCAGGTCATTTGCAGTAAAAGGCCATGCAAGACAAGGTACGCCAATCAATGCCAGCCACAACGTGATATTTGCAGTAGCTGAGGCTTGCTGAGCAAGGGAAGCAACCCTGATACTGTAGCTGTATATTAATAACCATGACAGAATCTAGTCTTTCTTAAGGCAGCTGCACACTAGACCATCGTTTTCTCTCTGTTGCAAATTTGTGCTGAGCAGTTTGTTTTGTGACCCAAAACTTGTCAGATAACCGAGAATGCACTTCTTCTCAAGTGGAACAATCTTTGCAGCAGTAGCAGTACTGTACAGTGTGCAGTGAAAACAGATGTACAGTACTGTAGTTATGTCATTACATCCTGTGTATCGTATCAGCTGTCCAGCATTTGCTAATCTCAGCTCTGTTTAGCGTGTATTCATCCTAGAGGGAATAACGTAAAGTGGGTGAATGCTGCTAGTGACGCTGGTGTTGTCCAGCATATGATATTTACATACCCTACCTGTGACACAATAGAGAAGAGAGACTGTGTTACACGGTGAGAGAAAGGTGCAGAAAAAGCAGACACTGACAAAACACAGAGAGAACAAATGTAGCCAAATAAGAGAGAGAGATGTGTAACAGTTGTGGATAGTGAGGCTCTTGCTCCTCTTCTCCTGCCTGTGAGCTATGACTGGATGAAATGTGGGATAGTGGCATAACTGCAACATGACACAAAGCTGTTGTCCTCTCCTGTCGTGACTTGCTTGCTAGATGACTGGGGCAGAACAGGTGTGTTTGTGTGTAGGTGTGTGGTGGGTGAGCCAGGCACTCACACACAAAGACATCACCATATGTCCTGTTACCATTAAGTCCCCTGGAGTGAACTGTATGCAAGTTTCTCATACATGGGAATCCTCATCTGCACAAGACACGAATGAGCCTGACAACAATGCATGTACTTGATCGGTGTCCTCCCCTGCTCCTCTTCCCTCTCCTCCTTCGGTTTGTCTCATGCACTTGCTTCATATGTTTCATTCTTGTTCCTGCCTTTAATGCTACCACAGTCATGCTTTCTTATTTCTTATCTTCCCTCTATTCTTCTTTCTGAACTGCTTCTTTCTCTCCTCTCCTTCTACGTCATTGATTTTGCCCCTCTTTCCATCTCCCCTCTTTTCTGCTGTATCTCTTTCTTTTCTAGTCATTTATGTAATGAGCTTGCATGTAGTGTCTACAGTGGAGCTCCTGCTATGCTCTGGGGGAACAATGTCAAAGAGGGCACCACAGAGAATGATAGATGTAGAGAAAAGGGTTGACTCTTATATTTGTTCCCTTCTTGTTCTAACCTGCTTCTCTCACCCTCTTCTGTGAGTGTGTATGATGCCTCTATCCACCCCTGCCGCCTGCCGACATGGTACAGGCTGTGCATTGAGACAGCCCCGGCTGAGGCAGTAGCAGTGAAAGTGCAGCTTAGCGAATCTCCACACACATGCACACCTACACCCACTCACACACACACACACACACACACACACACTGCACACCGCTGTGGTGGTGAGTCCGCTACTGCGTGTGCCATTGCAATAACATATTTAGGTGGGAGGATTTTCACGTCATGGTGATGGTGGTGATTACCTGGCTGCCATGTAAGTATACACTGTCCTTGTGTAAAATGTGAATGAAAGATAAGGTTATCTGAGTTTAACGTTTTGTTAATTGCTTCTCTTTTGTTGGTGTAAAGCATCTGCATATTGGGAGGCTGCGATATGTGAATTTGAATCTGTTTGTGGTTTGTGGGTATGCAGAACAGATTAATGTAGCCCTCTCGCATATGACAATTCCAAACCCATTTGTCATTTTGTCAAGGTGAAAATGTTGTATGGCTCATCTCTTCACTCAGTCAGGACATCTGTTGGCAGCTTGAAGTCTACAGTCTGTGTTCTCTGTCACACCTACTGACTGGTTCTGTCATAGCAGTAGGGTGTACTGCCGTAACTGATCATGTGTGTTTGCTGACTAGCTGTCTTCACTGCATTAGCTAACTGCTTGTTTCGGCATGATGACTGAATTAATATGGGACATTATCACCTCTGCTTCTTGATTTGTTGGCTGTCTGCTTTTCTGGTTGTCTGGCTGGCTCATTGGCTGACTACTCTCAAAGGCTGATTAATTGATAATTTCATTGGCTGGTTAGTTGAATGGGTTTTTTTGCTTGTCTGATCAACTGACTGATCATCAAACCAACTGATTGACAGGGCCAGCTTGCTGTTGGGTTGCATAACTTGTCAATCAGTTCAGTAGATGGCCACTTAATCAGTTTGTGCACCAAAAAGAGAGAAACGGCAGAACAGCTAGTCAGTCAAGGCAATCAAACAACCAGTCAGCCATTTAGTTAGCTACCAAGTCGTTCAGTTATTCATGGATTCATTCAGTCACCTCAGTTGTTCAGTCATTCTTTCATTCTATCGGCCAAACTGTTAGTCTGTCACTGTAACTGAGTGTAAACTGATGGGGCTGGGGATGAATGTGTGACCTCAACCATCATGTCCAGTGCACCAAGACAACCATACAGCTCAGAACCAGTGTCAGTCTTCTTTCTGTCCCTTTTTCACTCTCTCTTAATTTGATCCTTCTGAAGTATGTAAAACACACAGGTGATGAGAACTTTATGAGAAAATGTACACATAAATGATGGCAAGGGCAATTTGGAGCAAAAGAGAATTTAAAATGATGTACTGACTGTCTCCATGATGTACTACTGACTGTCTCTACATCGCAGTGGATTAAATTTTGCTGTGTCATCATCACTTCTGTGTAGAATAGCAACAAACACAGTGATAAGCAGACTTGACAGTCATTTTATCATGAAAAAGAAGTGGAAGGATTCTTAGAGAACAGAGAGAAAAGAAAAGGAGGGGTAAGTATAGGAAGCACGTGAGAGGGAGAAGGCTGTCAGTTTGATGACAGCCTTAATACAGTTCTTACTCCTAATTCAGCTGAGTGTTGAAATGCCTCCATGGTTTAAAAATAACCAGATGAGAAAATATGAGAAAAAAAAAAAAACGTGTTCTGGCTTTAAAATATCTAGATTTTCTTTGTCTTCCGAAACCCCCCAAACAACTGAGATGGAAATAATTTTAGTAAGAATGATTTAATAACCCCAAATATGTGCATTCAATTTATGAGTTCTAAAGACATTATAAATCCATCTGTCATCTTATTATTTGTGAGTAGCCTGATGTAGAGTCAAGGAGACCTCCTGCACAAAGCCGTGTGTGCTTTGCTGGTTGAATAGCAGTAGCTTAGGATTGGTTGTAACCACTGTGCAAAACACAGGGGGTCTCAGGGGTGTTTTTAAAATAATACGATAAAAATATACTGTAATCCCTGCATTTATGCCGTTGTACCAAAAGTGATCATCCACCAGAAACAGATCGTGGTCTGTGGGAGCGCGCAGGCTGTTAAAACCAGCGCCCATTTTATCTACACCTACAACTGCCTATGTTCAGATCAAACCATCATAAAACACAAACACAGACGTAGTGTACATCCCTGTGGTAGCAGCAAATGTATGTCTTTGTGAAACTTGATTTTGAGACTGAAGTTGTAATTTTACAAGGTCAAAGTTTTATCTGAGGAAGTGATACCTACTGTAACTGAACAGCAAGTGACAGCAGAGCACAGTGAGGTCGGACTGACTTTATTTATTTCAAATAAAGCATCATGAATGATCAGGACTTCTGCAGGGTAGGTTGTTTGTTATTTACCATGGCTCTTGAGCTGCTTTCCTGTACTTTTGTCAGATGATGTGTAAAAATTGTAAGTGGATTGTGGTGAATTTTGTGCACAGTTCAGGGCCCAAAATACATAAAGTAATTCAGACACCGGTTTTAAGATAGGCTTTTATGAATGGAGTGCAGCTTGTGCTGTGGCTTCATGCAAGAACAAGCAAACTCATATCAACTCATAACATTTCATTTTATTTATCTTTTTTCTTATGCTCATTTAACATTTTAACACTGAAATAGGCCATTAGGCGCAATAAACCTAACATTATGTGAGGCCGTGGAAGTCAAGTGAACACTGTGAATTTTACTTTATTCACTCTGTTCCTGACAGGTGGTGTAGCTAATGCTAGTTAGCAGTTGTCTGCAGATACCAGGCTGATGCCAGTGCAGATGAATCAGTGAACAGTGAACCTGTCTGTGCTCAAACTGATCATTAAAGTGAATGTCAGAGTTGAAGCATCTGCTACTGTGTGTAGCTATATGAGATAGTATTTATTTTGATGGCGCTCTTGTTAGTGGTGCAGACATTTTTTATTACTCCTGCTCAACTGTTTTGTATATGTAGCTTACCTAAAAATATAGATGTCATGTTTTAGTAGTTCTGCATTTGCCAAGGAAAATAAGTTCACAATATCAATTTAGTCTATAATGTGAACTTTAACTAATATTATACTTAAGGAAACAACAGCATTGTGCACTTTCGGAATGTAGAAAGACATTTTAATTTCCCATAACTCTGAGAAGCACTTTATGTCACATTGATATTTATTTGATGTAAATTAATCATGATGTGAAATGAATCAAATCAAATTGATTTGAAATTAATGGAATCCAAATCGAACTGAATTAAGACACCAGTGTCAATATCCAGCCCTAATGGTTTGAAAGTCAAGTTGAAAGCACTTGCAGGCACTTGAGTGTAATGTCACACGGCACATTGAGTTCTGCATTTTTTTTGGGTTGATCTAATCCAAAAGAAAAGACTTTGTGTTCTAGTCACACATCAGTTGAGAATCTGACTGTGGTGGGAATTTCTGGAATATAAGAACTCACAACAAGAAAATATGTCATTTAGATTTATCGATATGACTTCAAATGGACACTCAACCTTCAGAAAGATGCTTCAGACTTAATGTGCCTGGGTCTTCTCCTCATCGGTATCTGTACCCTGACACATAAAGACACTAAAACTTTGCCATCTGTCAGCACACGTCCCACCTGTGACTGCTATTAATGTATAACTGTCTTCCTGTCATTAAGCCATTTACAACACACAATAAACATTTAAAGCACACAATAAAGGAAACAATTGAGGAAACACTGCAACAGCAGAAAAGAGTAAAATGCTGAGGCAAACTAGGACAATGGTCAGAAAACATATCTCTCCCCTCACAGACATAAGACAGACAGCTGCTGACAATATTATACTGGCATTACATCACATTAAATAAAGGATTTATAGAGCCTGACCTTCTGAAAAAAAAAAACTTCCGTCCCTTGTGTCAGCAGGTTTTTACAATCTATAGTTCCATGTGTAGTAATTATGACACAAGTTGACTCAAACAAGGCCCTTTTCCCAGGTGAGTGCGGCTCACTTCCAGTGTGTGACATGTTTTTCAAGAAGTTGTTGCTCCTAAAACTAACCAAGTAGTTTGTGGAGGTGCATATATATATATATATTTTCCAATAGTTCCCAACAACAGCTAAGATACTGCGCAGGACAGGACCCGAGCTTGAAGGAAGGAATAAGACTGCCCTGAACTGGGGTGAGTAGGGAATTTTTATGTGTGTGTGTGTGTATATATATATAAGGTCCACAATCTTGTCCCTGACATCCTTGGAAAGCTCTTTGGTCTTGGCCATGGTAAAGAGTTTGGAATCTGGATTGATTGATTGCTTCTATGGACAGGTCTCTTTTATGCAGGTAACGAGCTGAGAGGGCTCCCAATGTCAGCTCGTTACCTGTATAAAATACACCTGGGAGCCAGAGATCTTGCTGACTGATAGGGGATCAAATACTTATTTCATTCATCAAAATGCAAATTAATGTATAACTTTTTTTGTAATGCATTTTTCTGGATTTTTTTTGTCTCATAAAAGTTGTGACATCATGTATCATGTCATCACAGACTCACACTGTTGACATATCACGTAGCCATTGCCACACTAATACAGGTGGGATACACTGTGTCCATCTTAGGATTTGTCATGCTGTCCAAAAACATACATTTAACAGGTGTTTGCACTTGTTGGGGATGCATTTCAATTTAGTATAGTGTGATAAGTAGTACAATTTTTTGCACTTGGGATGTTATTGGCTTCAAGCAATGTGTGAGGATGTTCAACTCAAAGGACTACTGTTACTCCTTTATTCTTTCAAAAATTATTTTTCTGTGTTTCCTTCTTTCCGTTCCTCCCATCGTCTTTCTGTCTTCAATCACCTTGCACACACATAACCTGCATGTGTTGAATTTATTTAGACCAGTGACTACGTCTTGATTTCTGCAGGCTCATCTGGAACAAAAAGAGGGCCCATCTGTCTTCCAGTGAGGAAGTTAGAAAGAGAGTCCTAAAAAGACAAAAAGTCTAGTTTTCCTGTCTTTCAGTCTTCATAATGCATACGATCATAATCAGCATACACAGTACAAACTGTGTTGCATAAGAATATGCTTATTCAGTTGTGGTTTGAATGCAGCTGGTGTCTGGACACTGATATAAATGTGTACTAGTGGACTAATATGGCTAATGGTGAATCATTTGTAAGCCTTCTTTTTGGTTTTGTTAGCAGAGTTATTAGCTTGCTTTACTGCATGTAGACAATAAAACATCATTTCATCATTTGAACTCCTGTTTATTTT